GCCCGCCTGGCGCCGCCCCGCGCCCTCTGCCGGCTGCAGGCCCGCCCCGGCCCGCGTCCTAATGAAGTGTGGGAAAGGAGGCCGGAACTCTTCCTCGGGCCCTCCCCTCGGGGCGGTCCTCCTCCGGCCGGGTAGGGCCTCGCACCCCAGGGTGCTCCGCCAGCGGCCTGCCCTGGGCTCCCTGCTGCTCTTTTTTCTCGCGGAAAGTTGGGAACGGTCGGAGACGCTTGTGCAACGGAGGAGTCAGGGCCTGCGCTCTTTCGTGTATTGCTTTGAGCTAGACAATCCCGCGGGCCTCATTTTTATTCTGTAAAATTGGGAGGTGGTTGTCTAGATGATTTCACAGGCTGTTAGACAAGGGAGACGAAAAATCATCAGCCTTCGTTTCACAGATGAAAAGATCTGACTGACAAGTCTGGCTCTGGGGTTCTGTTTGTTACCTATAAACTGTATGTCATTCACAGATCTTGCCCCTCAAGGGGCCAATATGTTCTTGTCTCTCTCCTTTTCTTATTCTATAATGAAAGTGCTACTTCCAAAAGTAGTGTTTTGTGTCACTAGGGAACTCAAAGAGCAGCTTCCCAAGTCTATGAGATGGCTCATCTAAACACTGATCTCTGGAAGTGTTCTTTATGGGTCCATCAGCCCCACTACTCCCTGCTGGGGATTGCGTTCAGGGAGAGCTGAGCAGCATCCCAGCCTGCCCACTTTTTAAAAACAGGGTCTCACTTAATTGCCCACGCTGGCCAATTTGCTATGTCTTGCCTCTCCGTCTTCAGTTGTAGAGATTATAGGTTATGTTGCAGTTTCCTTTTCTGCATACTTATCCTCTTAGCTGTTTTTCCCTCCGGGCTGTGGCTGTCTCCCAACTTTATCTGCTTTTCCCATCACTCCATCTCCCCTGTTCTGGGGATTGAACCCAGGGCCTTTGCTCTAGTCACCTTTTTTTTTTTTTTCTTTTGGTGCCAGGGATTAAACTTAGGACCTTGTGCTTGCCAGGCAGATACTTAAACCACTGAGCTATCTCCCCAGCTGCTTTTTTGTTTTTAAGACAAGGTCTCCACTGAACTACCCAGACTGAGTCAAATTGAATTCTGCTTCAGCCTCCCAAAGTGCTGGAATTACAGTCATGTGCCACCACACTGGGTTATCTCCCAAACCCTTTATACCCCATCTGAAACCTGACTGCCTGGAAAACACCAGCCTTTCTGGCACCTTTCTGAGACAATGACAGGTGATATCTTCCACAGGCATGTACTCCATTCTGTTACTCTTCACTGCTAGACATGCTCCATTCTATCTTCCTACCCTGCTCATGCTCATAAAACAACCCATAGTCTCCATCACATGTTCATTCATATATTCATTCATCCAGATATTCATGCAATTGATTCTGGTCAAGAACTCAACTCTGGGTCCTAGATCCATTTCATTAATTCTTACTCTCACCTGCTTTATCTTTCACCTCTAGCCATCTGCTAAGGTCCCATCCCCAGTAAAGCTAGAGATGCCCACAGGCCTATAAGTCACACATTCACCAATTTAATCACCTGCTAAAGTGCCTACTTCTCTTGGGTGCCCACGAATGTGGTTTGTACATGTTGCTTCTGGCCAGACAGACTGCTGACAACTCATCCCGAGAACACTTGTCTTCCTAGCAGGTAGCCTTTCCACAGTCCTTGGTGCTGCTCACTCCTCTGCTTTGAAACCTTTCTCTCCTCCCCATCTACTAACCTGTTTCCTGAACTTTCTGAGCACTTTTCTTGCTTTTCATTTTTCCAGAGTCATTTTTTCCTTCCCACCCTCTTGCTTAGGTTAACTGTTTATTTCCATGGCTTCAATCATTAATCGCTTCTGTATCTCTTTCTTCCAATAACCCCATTCTGCAGCCAAGTGACTTACTTAACATTAAAATATCAACACACACAGTACTGAGATTTTGTTAAAGGATAAATGAAACTTAAGTATTATTTTTATTACCATAGCTGTCTACAGATGTTAAAGAAAGAATTCCTTTTCTCAGATGTTACTTCTTTAATAAACCCTTTGACTTTTTTCTTCTTCCTCTTTGAGTCATGATCATTTACCAAAGTAGTTACATCATCTTATCTCTCCCAAGTAGTTGTCTTTTCTCTGGTCATATTCATCCTCTTTCTAACTCCATCTGCTTTTAATAACCCACCCCACTTCCTTAACTCCAATTAACCTCTGCCCTACACAAAAGATTCATTAGTTAGACTTACTTTCTAACCCCACAATAGCCTCTCTGAACTTCATTTACTTTACCCCATAAGTAAAAGCTTTACTATCAAAGTATAGTGCCAACCAACAAGGAGGACTAACCCTAGTTAAATGAAAGTGAGATTTGTAAAGTGAAAATGTAAGACAACATTTAATTTTTGTAGTCCAAATATATCTGACAATAGTTAAGGCACTATTGACCTCAGGCATTAATAATCCTTTGGTAGGATAAAAACACAAGAGTTTTCCCAGTGCTTGGGATGTTGAAAACAGGAGGCTCACTGTGAGTGAGTTTGATCTGTGTAGTGAGACCCTATAGATCCTATACTAAATACATTAAAAAATAAAAATTGAAAAAACACAATTCTAGGATCAGGATCTATAACTATTGAATTTTTTCCAAAGCATAGTAGATTTCCAGATATATGGAACACATGGCTAGTGTACATGAAAGTGCTCCAGTTACTGAAGGAAGAAGTGACTTAACCTTGACACTCTCTTTTTCAAGTAGTATTTATGTTGTCTAACACAGATTCAGAATATTTAAAAAATAAAGAAAAGTACAAAAGAATAAAGACAGAACTGGGCATGGTGGCACATGCCTATAATCCCAGCACTTGGGAGACTGAGACAGGAGGATCACCATGAGTTCAAGGCCAGCCTGGGCTACCTAGTGAGTTCAAGCCAGCCTGGACTATATAGTGAGATCCTGTTTCAAAACAAACAAAAGTAAAGAAAAAACACAACACACTCAAAAAAAAAATAGAAACTTTTCTACACAGTACAACTATACATGTGTATATTTGTTTATATAAATCCAGTTAGGCCAGGCACAGTGCCACAAGTCTGTAATCCCAGCACATGTGACCCTGAGGTGGGAGGCTGTAGAGTGTAAGAGCAGCCTGAGCTTAGAAGTTTCAGATCAGCCTAAACTACACAGCAAGATTCTGTCTCCAAAAACCTAAATAAATAAGTAAAGTACATATGTTTAATTTAACATAAAATGAAATCACATTATAAGTTTCATTGACAATCTGATATCTTTTACTATACAATGTATTTTTATCACTACTAGTTGAATACTCTTGCATTGCATATCTTCAGCCATTGAACTGGTACCTTACCAAAAATGTTCATTTTGTTTCTGGTTTTTGTGTATTTATTTTTATAGGAAATGCTATAATTATTTGCCTCCATGCAGTCTATTTTCCTAAATTCCTAGACTATTAATTGCTAGCTAAAAGATGTATTTTTTTTTTACTATATACTTGCCAAACTGACCTCCAGAAAAATTGTTCCAGTTTATGATCCTACTTAATAAATGGCACTGCCACTTGCCCACATATAACCAGCTCTGGATTTATCTATCTTACTTTGAATAGCATTTAGTTTCTACACTGGCTCAAGGAGTAACTGTTAAGAAGTCTAGGCTTAGACTCATATAGTCCTGGATCTAAAATAGCTCTACCACTTACTAGTTTGTTGCCTCAGACAAACCTCTTCAGCATCTCCAAGCCCTGGTGTCATCTGTAAAACAGGACACTGCCACTCACTTTAAAGGATAGCTGCATAAATCAAATGAAATTATATATGCAAACTACTTCATGTAATATTTGACATTTCATATTGCCCATGAGAAAGTAAAATTAGCTCAAACTGAGGTGAAAATATGCCCAGCTACTCATCAGGCTAAAATAATAGGCACAGATAAAGCCAGCTGCAAAGTTAACAGAATGCAGTGTCTCTTAAGGACATACTGCAGCTGTATATATCGTAATAACCTCCTTCTTTCACTGACTATTGCTTGCCTAGTCACTGAAAAAACGGTTTTCTAAAATCAAAGATATAGCCTAGCATAGTAACACAGGCCTGTAATCCCAGCACTCAGGAGGTTGAGGCAGGAAAATTGCTGAGTTCAAGGCCAGCCTGGGCTACAAAGTGAGTTCAAGGCCAGCGTGAACTTCATGGTGAAACCCTGTCTTAAAAATAATAACAAGGGGCTGGAGACATAGCTCAGTAGAATAAGCTCTTGCCTGGCAAGCACAAGGGCCTGAGTTCAA